CTTGGCAGTGGAGAAACCTCATGGCACCACCTTAAGCAAGACACCGGCGAGGCAGATAGACAGCAGGTGCCTCTGGCGAGAACGCACGGAGGACATTGTATCACTTCTGCCAAAACAATCACGAGGAAACAGGACAAACTCAAACCGACACTATCATTTTACACTACACGCAGCTTACACTCTTCACACTCAATACCATGAAGAACAAAGAGGCCAGACCAAAGAACTGTTCCATATTTAACTGAAACAGACATGACAACTAAGTACAGTGCATGATTGTGGGCTGTTTCTCGGGCTAAAAGAAATAGCTATGAAGAATGTGACTAGAATAACTGGCAAAATTTGAAATATGGACTATGGATGAGTCAACGGTCTCAATGTTACATTTCTGATTCAGATCATCGCACTGTGGGGATAGAGAATGTTGCTGTTCTTAAGAAATCATCACCAGTTGGAGGTAAAGGGGCACAATGTCTCCAATTTATCCTTAAATGGTTTGGGGGGGGAATGTATCCATGGAGAGAGGGGGAATGACAAAGCAAATGAAGCTAAATGTTAATAATTGGTGAATCTAAGTAACACAAGAGTTCTTTGTACTAATCTTTCAACTTGACTGTTTGAAATTATATCTATCTACATCTATACCTCTACAACTATATAGGTATATAAAACAAACCACAAAATTCAAAATAAATTCATCACCCAGTGCAGCAACCTAAACTCCAGTCTATTTCTCAGGCACCATTAGGCAATCTGTATAGAAACAAGGATAGGATACCAACAGTGACCGGGTCAGCAGCTTCATTAATTATGGCCCTGTCTACATTTCTAGTACCACAAAGTAGGTTTCATTTGAATAAAATGCATGGGACTTCCTTAAACTTAGTGCTAATTGCTAATATGCTTAAACACTCCAAGTACAAATTCCATACTTCCCACAGTGGGGTCCAAGGTTGTCAGTATTCTCATGCACTAAATACTATAGCCTAATTGCAGAACTTCTGTGCACGCAGAGTTTTTCTAATATGCCCAGGTCCCTATTTTCCTAGAAAATCCAATTTACATCTCTGGGATGTCAAATACCACAAATACCATGCTGTTGTTTTTATCACATCAAATAAACTTTTTTATCCTTTACCTTCTTAAGAAGAAATTCAATAAACTTGCTCACTGCTGGCTTTTCTACCTCTTCCCCAATATCTCTTTCTTTTATCAAGCTTTTCCATCCACTCTGGAATAATCCAGAGGTAATTAGAACTTCTTACCTTCTTTAGGCCCAAAAGGAGCCAATTTATCACAAACTGTCATGGATTCCAATTCTAAATTACCAAGAGTCCAATTACCGACAGAGGCAAGGAATCTTCTTTCCAATTAAAGTGATTGATTTGTTCCCAAACCCAGTAGCATTTCACTTTTTAATTATGTTCATTCTGATCAAATGTGAGAAAATTCTTCCTCATTTTATTTTCCTTCCAAAGAACACATTACAACAAACATTAATCATGAAGTGATACGAGGCCAGACCAGCTAATGCCTTCGGCAGAAATGAACATCTCATCTATCAGTGGGTCTCGTCCATTTCATGGGTCTTCGTGGCGCTTTCACCTCCAAAGGAGGTGGGGGCAGAGAATTATTATTTGTTACATCGCATAGTTCACCAAAGGGCTTGTCAAACCTTCCAGGATCAGCTACATTGTGATGAAGCGGCATTGAATATTCAGATAAACATACAGTAGCGGGGGAATGAAGACCCGGACAGAACACGAATTTTGTTTCTCGTGCGAAGAACAGAACCACAGTGTTGGAGACCAAATAGTGTGCGGAGATAAACACGAAGAACATGGGAACGATTTTTTTTTTCTCACTCAAAGTGGCATTAGAATGATTTACGTACAGACAAGAATTTTGAAGGAGAAAAGTAAAACTCCAAGTTCAGTTTGGAGTGAGTAGAATTTGGAGCATCCGGAGGAATGTGAGGCCACTATGCCTTACAGATTGACCAAGGCCTGAAAGACACTTGTTTTATCTGCTTTGCTTTTAATCTTAGAGGGAAGACCAGCCGGTTCTGGCTCCTGCAGCCTGCTGACCCGGGAGCCTGCATCCCCTTCCACCGCTCTCCACGTGCTAAGCAGGTTGGCATCAGTTCATTCACTTGAGACAATACAAAGGGCAAGGTTTTCACTGGACACACACCTCCCAGCAATCGGAGTCCCAACAAGTCGCTACCCTTGGCACTCATACAATGCTGTTGTGACCATTTCCCAAAAGCGTTCACAGATTTAGAAGAATGGGTCTGGGAGCCCTCCAAGATTTTAAATCTCCCCATTCAACCGCACACCTATTGGATCAGTTTAGCGGAAAATGGAAGTATGTTGTACCCTAAGCTTTAAAAATAATCCATATATGTAAGACTGTACCTTTGCCTTTACTCCAGGTTCAGTTTGTGAAACTCAGGAAGACCGATATGACCTTCATGAAGACTTCTCATTCCTTAAACAGACCGTTGTTGGGTCCCTCCTAAGGGGAAGGATGCTGGTGCTGGAAGTAGAGACAAGGCTCCTTCCACGGTGCTCTACAGGGAAAGGGAGATAAGTAGATGTCTCAGGAGAGAATGCAGGTGTGTGATGGGATAAAGGGTCACCCTTGTGAGATCAAAGGAAAGGAGCATTGTTCCAATGGAGGCACAAACAAGGCAGGAACTCTAGGCCATTGTGTATGTGTCACAGCGTGGGAGAACGAATGCACGGACCATTCCAAGAACCATAACTGTAAGAAAGACGAGGCCAGGCCAGATGCTGCAAAGTTACAACGCCAGACTGAGAACCCTGGTTTTTTTTTTTTACCTACCAGGGAGGAGCATGAGGGGAGGTTATACTCCAGCTGGCTGTGCAGGGGTGGGGGCTGGGAGAGAGGAGGCTGCAGAAGTAATCCGCCAAGGGCAGACAGCAGAGCAGGCTACAGCAACAGGAGTGGATAGAAGTGGCCATGAGGGGCACATGGGTGACTCTGTCAGTTGAGCATCTGACTTCGGCCCAGGTTGTGGTCTCACGGTTCACGAGTTCAAACCCCACACTGGGCTCTCTGCTGTCAACCTGTTGGTGCAGAACCCACTTCGGATCCTGTGTCGCCCTCTCTCTGCCCCTCCCCTGCTCACACTCTCTCAAAAAATGAAACATTAAGAGAAGGAGTGGCATTTGGGAGACTCGGGATTGGTACAAACCACAGGAACTTACCGTCATGAAAGTATGAAGGTGAGGCAGACACTGAGCACTATTCCATGTGAATGCCTGAGTGGCCTCCATGGGCTGGCTGGCTCTCACTATTTAAACATTTCTTATAGTTATTATTCATATCTTGCATTGAGCTCTCGTTTTAAGCTCTTAAACATCTCTGGGAAAAGTGGGGGAATTATTTCAATCCTTCTTTTTACAGCTGAAAGAACTAAGACCAGGGAAGCTTAGCCCTGACCAGGGAACCTCAGTAATCCAACCTATTGGTGCAGAGCTGGGATAAGAGATCAGGAGTCCCTATTACACAAACCAACGAAACACAGATCACTCAGAACTGTCCTGCTGGCATGTTTCCGGCCTCCATGTGACAGAGTTCACAGACCTTTATACCAAGAGCTGTGCTGTAAGGTGGTTTCCTGATAACGTCCATTCCAAAAGCCAATGGAAAGCCACCAGTGCATGGAATCATTAAAAAAAAAAAAAAAAATAGACGCACCCAGGTCTCAGGTCTTACACCTACATACCATTGGTGGAACTAAATTACCCTCATCCGATGCTACTTTCACACTCGAGTTTTTCCATCATAAATTTTTTAACAGAACAATGAGCCTAAAAAGCAGGTAAAGTGGGGGCGCCTGGCTGGCTCTCCAGGTTGTAAGTTTGAGCCCCAAGTTGGGGGGCTTGAAAAAAAAAATCAATAAATAAAAAGCAGGTAAAGAAATTCACTGACAAAGGTTTAGGTGTTTTAAGACTTTAATGTCCTCCACATAGTCATGAGAAAATACTGACAACGGATAAACAATAGGGGAAAAGACTCTTCAGCAAAGATTTCCGGAACTCACAGCATCACTGGTCCAACACTCTAAAGAGAACCGTCAAGTGAACAAAGGAGAAGGGAGTTTAACAGAGAATTTTAATTTAACAGCCTCACTGAAAAATGAAGAGCAAAGCCACCAAGCAACCTTCTCTTCTCCCCACTAAAAGGAACGTAAAAGGGAATTTGGGAACTTTGAAATCTTGCAAAGCAGTTTTTTTAAGAGGGAAGAGAGAGGGGAGGGACACACCGGTGCAAGCGTAACGCATACTATGTGAGATCGATGATTCTAAGGTCTCTACATGCATCACTAGGAAACATATTATTAGAAACATGTTGCATAGAATATAAACTATTGGGTATTAAAAAACACACCTTGCTATATAAACATACAGTATATCACTTTTATCTCTTTATGAGAATAACAGTATAAAGAAAGATCCCCAGTTTGCCTTTTAGCCTAGAACCCCTAAACACTCACTACCTGGTCAGTGTGGACTTGGAAGTAACAGGTGCAGAACCCAGGACACCCCTCTGTGTCATTCTGTAAAGGATCAAGATTCAGCACCTAGAGGTCCCCACCCAGCCTCCATGCCTTGTTTTTGTGTTTCCAGAAAAAGTAACTTCAATTTGCATAATTGAGTCCACAGGCGAGTTTGAATACTGAGATCTAGCCAGGAAAAGTAGCAGCAAGGACAAAATCAGCTGGAACTCACTAGGAAAGCAAAAGGTTTTTAAAATGCTTCCAGTTCAAGTCAGAATTAAGGTGGTGGCCGTTAAGTCTCCCCAGCTTTGCACAGCTGTGGACATGTTGCTGTTCTTTGAAAAACGAGATCTATGATAAGCATGTTCACCCGAGAAAAATACCATGTCTGCTAAGTTTCTGTCGTCATTGCCGAGTTACTTTCAATTGTGTACACTGTTCAAGGGCAGAGTACACACTGGTTAAGATGTGTTCACAGCTGATGCATCTCCAGAAAGTTCTTCATGAAGGCAGCCAGCTTCTGCACATCCTCAATCGTGACGGCGTTATACAGAGACGCCCGGATGCCTCCCACAGACCTAGAGGGACCAAAGATGCCACCATGAAGAACAAAAGCATCCAATTTAGCATCAAGACAACCGTCTTTCCAGTTCCCAGTCACCGGCTCCTGAGACCGACGCAGCACCTGCGGCCAGCATGCCCAACCTGTCACCTGAAAGCCTCACAGATGGCCAGGAGCTTCAAACCTCTCATCATTAAGAAATTCTCCCAAATGCAGTGAAGGACCATCAGGCTCACACATGACCTAGATTAACTCAGCTATCCATGGGCCTGCCGGGTAGGGAGGAGGGGGCTAGCAACCACTGCAGGACAGATGTCTCACCTCCCGCGTGGCGAGGACACATTTTTTCATAGAGCATGCAGGACTTTCTGATGCCCAGCAGGAGCAAGAGTGATCCTTTCTCACCAGACATGAGACGGCAACCTCTGTGCCAGAAAGGTCATCTAACACATTTTCAAAAGTAATGTTGACAAAAGCCTGTAGATGTGGCTCCACCATGCACCCAGCCAGGGAATCATGCTAAGGGCTCTATAAGCAAGAGGGGAGGGGCGCCTGGCTGGCTCAGCCAGTAGAGCATGCGACTCTTGATCTCAGCCCTGTGTTGGGTGTGGAGATCACTTAAAAATAAAATCTACGGGGTACCTGTGTGGCTCAGTTGGTGAAGCGTCCAACTTCGGCTCAGGTCATGATCTTCCCGTTTGTGAGTTTGAGCCCCGCATCCAGCTCTGTGCTGACAGCTCAGAGCCTAGAGCCTAGAGTCTGTTTCCGATTCTGTGTGTGTCTCTCTCTCTGCCCCTCCCCCGCACGTGCTCACTCTCTCTCTCTCTCTCTCAGAAATAATAAATGAATAAACTTAAAAAAATAAATAAATAAAAATTTTCAAAAAAAAAAAGGAACATTACACCAGTGACCTGAGCTTCTGATCTGGAAGCATACTCACCTATGCCCTTTCAAGGAGATCATATTGAGTTCGAGAGCTTTATCGAGAAATCTTTTTTCTAAAGCATCATCTCCTTTGGCATTGCCAATGCGGAATGGAATATTCATCTTGCTTCTATTCTGGGGCTCCACCGGACATCTGAAAAGCATGTTTATTATTCCAGTTACTTTTCCAAAATGTGCGACAGCCATTAACAATCAACAGAAAAATTGTTTTAAACATTTTGTCATTACAATAGAAGACTTAAAAAGTCTGCCCCAGGACATTTTATAACTTTTACTTAAGGAGATCATTCTTGCATATGGAACAGTGAGTTAGCACTGCCTTGTATGACTTGTACTTACTTTCCATGAACCTCAGTTTTCTCACCTAAATAATGGAAATAACACCTCCATTTCAGATTAGTTGTGATAGTTCAGTGGCACAACATACATGGAGCTTCCAACATATGGCAGCCACATGACAATGTGACATTGTTTCTCTACAAGTATAGAGAGAAAAAATATGTCGGTCCTAAGAGTGGCTGAAAAACTTAATAATAATGAACAGCTTTCGAATCACTTGTCAACACTGATTGTCCCAAGCCGTGTGACCTTGAGTAAGTTACTAAACCTCTCTGTTGTGCCTCACTTTCCTCATTTATTGAATAGTGGGAAGAGTAATGGAACATACCTTCTAAGGTTGATGTGAGGATTAAGTGAGCCACGACTTATAGGGAGTTTTTGAGGTATATTCAGGTATATTTTTAAATGGCCACAAATTCTCTAGAGCTCTCCCAGCAAGAACGGGGTCTAGCTCTCCACACCTTTTGAATCTGGGCTGGCCTTGTGACTTGCTTTGACCAAGAGACTGCAACGGAAGTGGTGCTGTGCAACTTGCAAGGGGAATGCGGCCTCCATAGCTGTCCTCTTAAAACATGGCCACCATATTAGCAAGCCTGAGCTAGCCTGCTGGAAAGAGGCCCAGGTAACAGCCAGCACCAACTCCTATACATGTGAGTGAGGTCATTGTAGACCACTGGCTCCAGGTGAATGACCAGATGACCTTGAATGAATAAACGTCCCAAGTGAGAGTGGCCGAAGAACCACCCAGCTAAGCCCAGCCCAACCTACTGACCCAAAGTCATGAGCAAAGAAAATGGCCGTTGCTTTAACAACTGTCTTGCCTGATCTGGGATGCCAAAACAGATAACTGATACAATCCAAAATAGTGCCTCGAACATATTAAACTATATAAGTATCAGTTAAATTCAACAAATTCATCTTTTTATTCCCAGCACCTTGCTCAAGACTTATACAAACTCTCAAAAATGAAATGATGTGTGAATTTTTATCTAGGAAAGGTTAGAAATTTGACTTCAGTTTCTGATTTGAAAAATAAGCAGCCAAGATTAAGACCCATTGACAATCAAAGGAGACAAATGGAAGAGCTGACATCTAAACCCAGAATAAAAGAAGAGTCAAATATGTAATAACCCCTTCTCCATTTTCAAGCTCATCCTGTTTTGTTCTTACACTTCCACAGGGTGTGATTCATTAAAATTAAACAGCAAATAAAAGCAGTGTGAGGAGGCCCCTGTTAAAAGTTATGCTCTCCCCTAAGGGCACATACATAATTCCTGTTAAAGTTAATAAGAGTCAAGTGCACACCCACAGGCAGAAGACACGCCAAGGAGGGAAACCAAATATCCGGTAATAGGCTTTGAGCCCGAATTCCACGCACCCCCCTTTCACTAGGTGGTAGGTTTCATGGCTGACATTTAAATTAAAAATTCATTGGCTACCCTCTTGATATTCTGCTGCCTCAGGCTCCCAACAGGAGGGTCCAATTATAGCACAAAGCACGTCTAATTTAAGAAGAGAAAAAAAATTAAAAGGAGGAAGAATGAAATATCTTATTTACAGTTCACCCCCACCCCATATCTACCCCATTCTATCGTGAAAGCAGACGTCAGCAGGAGAGCCATGCATTGGCACACAAGTCGTTCCCTCAAGCCCAAGAGGGTCTCTGGCGTAAGGCTCAAGAAGGGAAGCAAAGATTAAAGGGGATTCACTGCCCCCATCTGGTGTGATGGCCGTATAGGGAATTAAAAAGAACAATGGCTCGCAGAGAACAGAGTGGGAACACCAGAAGGTGGAGAGACCTGCTAGAAAGCTCTTACAAAGAGGTTTCCTGAGGGGCGCCTGGGTGGCGTAGTCGGTTAAGCGTCCGACTTCAGCCAGGTCACAATCTCGCGGTCCGTGAGTTCGAGCCCCGCGTCGGGCTCTGGGCTGATGGCTCAGAGCCTGGAGCCTGTTTCCGATTCTGTGTCTCCCTCGCTCTCTGCCCCTCCCCCGTTCATGCTCTGTCTCTCTCTGTCCCAAAAATAAATAAACATTGAAAAAAAAACAAAAAAACAAAGAGGTTTCCTGCTTGGAAGAATGAGGGCTTGTGACTAAGGCAGGGGCACAGGGGAGCCTCAAGCATGGGGTGTAAACTCAAATGCCAACAGGGGCCCCGCTGTCATAGAAATGAGAACAGGTCCATAGGCCACACCAGCACAAACTCCTTTTGTTACCTAACAAATGTGACTGCCCCGTTCTTTGCCTCCCCAGGGAAATATGCTCCTTCTTCTTCTTGAAACACATGGTCCTCCTGACCAAAGTCCCCCCCCCCCC